GGTCAAGATGAATCCATCTGCAGTTTCTTGTTGTTTTCGCCCTGCCATCGGTGCTCATAAACTTCCATGCCCACAATGCAGATACGGCTGCAAACAACTCCCACGCAAGTTGTATTGTTCAAGCTTGTGTAGCGGACTCGACCGCCCCTCCGCTATTTTCCTGACAGCATGCGAATGAACCCGCAGCTGTCTTTCTCCTGCCCTGTGCCTGCCTCTACATCTCTCTCTGTGTCTTTCCACCCCCGTCAACGAGTTGGCAAGTTTCTCAAATGCCGTATTGGCATCACGGCATGCTCCCCTCCCTCCGTGCCATTTGTTTTCCCGTTCTTGTCCCTTCATTTCGGTCACTTACATGAAGAGGAGACAGCTGGCATGTGGCAGAGTGCATTTAACGGATGCTCAATTATCCGTGTTTTGTTTGACTTCTCAATCAAACACATTTAGCTACTTTTGTTGGGAATTTGGCCACACTTGTTTGAGTTCTGTTAGGTTTGAATTAGGGTTTTAATTGCCTCCCATGCATTCACAAACCTTCTCTTGATGTATAGTGCTGTTGGAACAATTAGGAGCCATTAAAACAATGGCGGCCAAGTCTGCGGACGCCCGAGTGCTGAGTAATAACAGTCATTAGAATAATAATTGGGATAGCAATGGCGGTGCCGATTGTCGTGATATGAATCACAATATTGATGCGGAGGACAGAAATAATAATGGCTACAATTACAATGGCAATTGTGCAAAATTCCAAGACGTCCTCAGTCACTGTCTCTCATTTTCTTCCCTGTTCTCGCCTCCTGATTTCAGCTCAATACCTCACCTGTCAATGTTTTATTTACCCGCTCTCCCTCCACGCTGAATTTAAGACAAGGGTACTCTGAGATGGATAGAGCTTGACAGGATTACATTTAAATAAAGCCAGACGAGTGGGCCAACGGGTGACGAAGGCCGTCTAGCGCCTTTATAGACTCTCCTATGTTTCCCTCCTGAACGTTTGTCTTTTGTCTCTTTTCAGCAAAAACTCCATAATAATCCTAATCGTTCCTCTAAGAGATGTTTTGCCTCTGGTCTATAACCAGGATGTCCTGATGAAATGTTTGGAAGCAATCTTGACTTCAACTTTTGACTTTGAAAGGAAAAAAGTTTCATTTTTGTTAATTTGTAGACTTGCAATGGTACAACATTGGATAAAGATGCATTGCAGAAGAAAGTCAAGAAAAGTCATGAATTTTCATCACGCTGTCATTTCCACCACATCTCAAGTGCATTGATGCATGCATTCCACTGTGGTGGAAATAATATTTTGAACATTTTTGGAATAAAATTGCCAACTCTTGTTAAGGCTAATTTCATAGCTATTAAGTATTTTATGTAGCATAAACACACAATTAAATATTTCGGTAATACTTTAGAATCACTATTAACCAAGAGATTTCCCTGAACAAACTCCTAATTTGCTGCTTATTAATAGTTAGTAAGGTAGTTGTTAAGTTTTGGTATGGGGTAGGGTTAAAGGATCTAAAATATGGTCATGCAGAATAAGGCATTAATATGTGCTTTATAAGTACTAATAAACAAGCCAATATGCTAGTAATATGCATGCTAATAAGCAACTAGTTAACAGTGAAAATTGGTCCTTAAAATAAAGTGTTACCAGTATTTCAAACTATTTGCATAATTTGATAAAACTGTGGCTTGATTGGAAATGACACATATTAAACCTTGTTCATATTTAATATTTAGCCATTTTTTATATTCATTTATTTTCTGTGTCATGTTTTATCTGAAGCTCTTTACTGACACTGTTGTCTCCTTAAAGGTGACCTATTATGCCCCTTTTTACAAGATGTAAAATAAGTCTCTGATGTCCCCAGTGTGTGTGTGTGTGTGTGTGTGAAGTTTTAGCTCAAAATACCTTACAGATCATTTTTTATAG